GGGGTTCCACTGTTCCGCTAAACTCAAAGTAAGTGAACAGACTGAGCAGACCTATACCTCTTTTTCCATCAGGCAACAAGGGGTGTAATCCGCAATCGCCGCCAGCAGTTACATTTGTAAGACGTGACAACGTTGCGTGGTTGGGGGCACTACTGTCGATTTACTAGTGATGTGATCCGCAATCCTGCCAGCAATGAAGCAGACGACGTCAGTCTACTTGGTCTTTTTCGCGACATTTTTGCTGTGATCCCGCGCAATCCCGTTAGCAGTAAAGCTGTTGTTTCTATTTTTGCTGTGATCCCGCGCAATTCCGCCAGCACTAAAGCTGTTTCTTCATTTTTGTTTTTGGCACTTAAAACTATTTTTTTTGGTCTGCGTGTTTGTTTACGTGTAGCACAATATGCTTTGTGTATAATCAGAAAATGTCACGAAAAAGAGCAAGTAGACCGACGTCGTCTGCTTTACTGCTGGCGGGATTGCGGATCACATCACCAGTAAATCGACAGTAGCGCCCCCAACCACACAACGTTGTCACGTCTTACATATATATATAACTGCTGGCGGCGATTGCGGGTTACACCCAAAGCCTATGGCCTATGCCAATGGTCGCAACTGTGTTGACTGACAGAGAACACAGTATAGGTCTGTTCAGTCTGTTCACTCAATTTGAGTTTAGCGGAACAGTGGAACTCCCTTATAAATATGAACGTTCACAATGAAATAAGCAAAAAATGTCTATGTGAATAGCTCCTATATAAATAAAGACGGGCACTATTAAACCAAGTCAGCCATTCACTAGCAGACGTCACCTGCGGAGTTGTTCTTCGCAAGGCTGGAAAACCCGCTGACAGACGACCCTATATTACCCTCTCGACTCTAAGCATACAACCAGGAATCTCTGATCCTCTCCAAGATCTGTGCTGGGCAAACCTATAACAGTTATGAAGGAAAAAAAACTTGAGCCAACGGGACAGTCTCTAATGGGCAAGCATCACTAACCAATCTCCCCATCTAAGATCACCAAAATAACTGAATCTGCAAATAAAAAAGGTGCTTTAGACACCAACGTCTTCGACGTTATACCGGGAGACGTTGGGAAAGAGCACTACAACTAGCCCCAAAGCTTCGGACTTTGTAATTTTTCTCCCGATCAGTCTATGTTTTCAACAGCAGGCCAGAGAAGATTGCCCTGAGGTATCCAGGCAGTCACAATTGCTGTTAACTGCAGTCAAGAAAGTGTTTACTTAAGAGGCTCACCGGTCTTTTTTAGGGCCATAGGACGTTGAACTACCTTGCCAACAAATATATTAGAACTTAACAAAGTTGACAGAAAACAGCCATTAGGGGTCACAAAAATTTTAAGCACGCCAAAAGTCGCAAGAGGGTGGATTGGAAGAAAAACTTCAAATGTATCTAATAAATAAAATTTTACTTAGATGTCAAGAAACTTACGCAGAAAATTTATTGAGATTGAAACAGCAGCGTCGAAATCGACAAATAAAGAATCTATTTCGTGAGAGATCAGCTTTTCATTGTACCCTCACAGCAAACTCTGAAATCTTTAAAGATCCTACTTCAGATTTTTAAATAAGTAGAAAATGTATTTGTGTTTTTGTGGCAATTATAATGTAGGGTTTAAGGTCCAGGACTTTGTTGCTCTGGTAATAAAGTTATGAGATTTGAGAAAAAAATTTTTTTTTAATATAAATTTTTTGGGGGTTTAAAATCTTAACAGCTTTAAAAAATAGCCGTTTTCGTGAATTACACGGGAGAAACTGTAAATCAACGGCTTCTTAT